ATTCAATAAATGTACATTAGTGCAAGATTGTCCATAGCAGCGTAAAAAGTGTCTGGTGCTGGATTTCAGTGTCTGAGTGTCTGTGGTGTCAATATACTTCCTCAGTGGTGGATTGTTACTAAGTACTATTTGGACGTTCTATGTAAATTACTTGAGTATTTCACATTTCAGAGGGAAATATGATACTTTAGACACTTTATACACATTAAGCTGGTAATACTTCTGTACTTTTGAAACGTATAATTGTAATATTTTAAACTCAGGTATTTTACCTGTAATGGAGTATTTTGATTTATATATACTATATATATTTTGACTTATTTTGACATAAATCAATTGCAATGTGTAATTTGCGATACAAGTTATATCGTAAATTACACATTTGTTTCGGGGGGCTTAACAGTCTGTACATATCAACAAAACAAAAGTGACAGATTAAAAAACATAATAAATTCACAACATAAACAACACTTACCAATAGATATCATGTAAACATATATAAAGCTCAGGATCCAGGTATCAACAAGGGTTTAAGGGAAATTAGAGCAAGGGCAGAGCAGCTAATACGGGAGTAATGTGTTTTCTTAGTCCTAGTTCTTGCAGGATGTGTATTTTGTAAATTGTGTAACTTTTTTTATAATAATTTTTTTGTATCTTTAATACTTTTGTATGCATGCTTCTTAGGCACATGTGTCAAACTCAAGGCCCGGGGGCCAAATCAGGCCCGTGGTGGATTTAATTTCGGCCCGCAGGATAATTTCTAATTACTATTAGATCTGGCCCGCCGGTATATTGCACACACACCTTCACTCCATCCTGAGGGTCTCCTCAGCTCAGAGCCTGAGCCCAAACATTGATGAACTTGCACCCAAGATGAGATGCCAAGTATCTGAACTAGCATCACAGAGCAGCACACTGAGTTTACATGTTTCCTTCAGCCCTTTTTCTCTCACGACGACAGGGCATGTTTGGTTTTCTCTTTGAGGGAAATAGTTTTTTTGAAGCTGTTGTTGGCCTGTGGGAAAATGTAATCATAAGAAATGACTCTGGAGAAGCTGCAGATAGAGCCATAAGAAATGAATGCAACTGATTATTTAATGTTTAATGTTGTTTTTATAGGCAATAATTTAAGCTTTGTTAGTTCCAGGTTTAATATGTGCAATAAGTTCATTTCAACACGTTTTGCAATAAACATTGAACCACTCGAGTAGCACCCATTTCTTTATTTTGGCCCACTGTGTATTTGAGTTTGACACCCCTGATCTTAGGTAACATTAAGCTGTCTTTGGCTCTTTTCTGCTGTAACAATGTAAACAGCATGTACATGCCCCCTCTGTGGGACTAATAAAGGTATTCTGATTCTGATTTTAAATGTAATGCAATATGATGTATTTGTGTGTGTGTTTCAGGCGTATCAGTATGGTGTGTACACCCGCGAGCTGCTGCAGTTTGGAGACAAGCTGTCCATGCTGCTGCTGCTGCCGCCCAGCGAGGACTTCAGCTCCAACTACTGGCCTCTGGTGGGGACCAAGGAGCCGGGCCTCACCATGCCGCTGCAGATCTTTGAGCTGGGTGGGTGGACCACTGGAGGGTCAAGAGTCCATAGATACAGGATCTCTCACTCAAAAGAACCACAGTGTTTTCAAGCGGTGCTGAGAGAGAGGGGAACACAACAAAAACTGGGATTAATCCGATCCAACTTTATTTATATAGCACATTTAAAAACAACCAAAGTTGACCAATGTGCTGTTCATCAATAAATATATAAAAAAGATGATGTTAAAACATTTTAAAACACAACAAAATAGAATGAATGAAACTGGGACCACTTTGGACTTTTTCTAAAATCAGCACAGTGTCCTCAGGCCAGTTTAAATGGATGGTTTGGATTTTTAGAAGTGGTTATATGAGGTACTTAACCATAGTAAGAGTATTTTAGAGATTAGATGGCTGTCATACGCCTCCAGTGTGAAGAATCAGGAAGGATTTATATAGCACCTTTAAAACAGAATTACAAAGTGCTCTTACATAAAAACAGATCACATTTGATACACACCAAGAATAAAAAGAACCAGCTACTTAACACTTCTTAAAACACAAAAAGGAATCAAAAAATAAATACAATTATAATAAATAAATACATATTCAATCCAATATATGCATTTAGCTGATCACATGATGATTTGCTTGTACTCCAACCTCCTTCTGTAGTAAATACACCAACTATATGGATAAATACCATATATAACCCCATTTCAAACTATCTTTGAACTTCATAATCAAATCGACATAATCAAAAGTCAGAAGTCATTTTATTTAATCTCTTTAAAGATCAATACATTTGTCTTATCTTCAAAGTATAAAATATTACGATAAAAAACACGAGTTTCTTTTCAACCTCTGCCAGTTTGGTTGGAAAGTATAATGAGTGTAAAACACAGTTATCTTTTTAAGATTTCACTGTTTCTGCTTTCTAGTGCTTTGATCCTGCTTTTAATCCATACATCAGGGTTTGTTTTTATCTCTAACTTAATCCATCTTCCCCCTCATTGCTAATGAGGCGTTTTCTCTCTGCTCTCATTTGATTTGTGTTTCCTCTGAACTCTCTCCAGTTCACTTCTGGATGTACGAGCGGGACTTCCTGTCTCAGTACTGCCAGGCGTGGGTGAGGCTGGAGTTGGACTCTCACCTGGCCCAGCAGGCTCTGAGGGAGGCGCTGGACACCAAGGAGTTGCTGGAGGCCCGCGAGAGACTCAACCACATCACGGAGCTCTCTCAGGTAAGACCAGGGAAGATATGTATAGCAGCAGAAACTGAGTTATGCCGCTGAGAGGCTAAAATGTGCTCTTTGCTGTGACGTGTTCCATACAAGTCATTTATAGTCCATGGTGTTTATTGCGGCAGTAATAACAAGAGAAAAACATTGTGGACGGACGCGCAAAAACTCAGTCTTTCCACCAGTATGCGTTTGACCTTTTATTTCCAAAGCAAACATTCAATAGTCCATATCCATATGTGTATATTCTTTTATGCGTGCGGTCAACAAAAATTGTCCTTCTCCAGCTCACTCCCCCTCCATCTATCACAAGGTGCTCAGGTAAAAGCAACCGGATATAACCGCAAACGTCACCACACAAATCCAATGACACGCCCACCACCTATAGTGACTCAAAAACATGTACCGTAACAAACACAGAAAAATATGTGGCTCCTACAGTGTTTAATAAAGAAGAAAAAACAAACAATATACAACTCCAGACCACACGGTCAACAGAAAGAGCCATTCACCCTCTCCTCTACGTCATATCCCAAAACCGGCATCCAACAGGTGACCCAAATACCAATACACCACACCCACGTGACAATTGCAGTAAGTGATAAACAATAAGAATTAAACGTGATGCAAACAGAAATGGAGATAATAATAGAAATAATAAGCAAAGGCAAAGCAAGCATTTTGGCTCCTACAATACGTGTAGCTGTTATGACNATATTTATTTAAGCAAAACATTCAAATCAACCAAATTAATTAAGTGCAAAACAAGTAAAGTATGAGGTGTGGATGTCAGTGGTATCAGTAATGTAAATGCAGGGTGAGGATTGTATCGACGTGTGTGTGTGTGTGTGTGTGTGTGTGTGTGTGTGTGTGTGTGTGTGTGTGTGTGTGTGTGTGTGTGTGTGTGTGTGTGTGAGAGAGTGTTGAAGTGCACAAAGTGAAGCAACTGAAGAAACTCATAGCATACTCGACAAAACCGGGGTGCCTGCAGGGAGAAGCAGAGAGGCTTTAAATAACTGCAGGGCACCAGACCCAGGTGCCCTGAGTTACTGCAATCAAGGCAATCTGGATGCAGCACAGCCACACCCTCTCCAGATGAACCCACAGGGGCATCACAGTAGCATACAGTAAAGGACAGTGCAACATACAGTACTGATGCAACTCAGTTATAAGAACATCAAATTATCGGTGTCCATCAATGTTTAACTACAATGGATGAGTAGGACACACGTCTCCTATTGGATTTTAGATCTATTTTATATGAATTATATATTTTTTGCTGTTTTTTTTATTGAAAACCCGTGGATTTATTTAATAGCCTTTATATCTGGACAAGTAGGACACACCTGTTTTTTCAAAGGATTTAATCGATTTCCTTTTTTGTATCGATTATTTATATTAAAAAATCTGCAGCTTTTAAATTTAAAACTTTTTCTTCGAACTCCATTATTAATATAAATATTTATATTGCAAAATTATCCGTTTTTTTTTTTTTTTCATGGGCCTTTACAGTATATCACGTAACTACAAATCAATGCAAAATGGTACTACTACATCATATGTGGGACAGGATTACAGGATTTTTCTATTTTATACGAATATTTATATAAAATATAAGCAGTTTCTTTTATGTAACTTTTTTTTAATTTATTTTTTAGTGGCTTTCATATTATGTGATAATAACTCAAATCAATATGTCAGAATATACAGAATAAGGTAAAAAATATGCAGAATACATTTTAAATGATGATGATTAAATGTAATTCCTATTTGACTTAAAGGTAGGGTAGGTAAGAATGGAGAAAGCAGCTCGAGTGCGCTAGGATTTGAAAATACACAACCGAAAAAAATCTGCCACTTCCTTCAGACTTCCTTACAGAGCCCCTCCTCCAACACACACAAACACACACATGACCAATGAGGGCACGAGATAAGTTTGTGCACAGATGGAAGGCTGACAGGCAGGTAGGCCATCCAGTTATTTTAGCCGGGCCGGCTCAGATGATTGGTCGTGCTTTTTACAGCGCCACGGCTTCCACAGATGAATTTTTTTTATGTATTTATTGTCAAAGCATTTAATTTATTCATTGCTATCGGGATGTTAAGAGCATTCCATGGAATATAACAAATAGTGAATTACCTACCCCACCTTTAACGTAAATCAACAGTCTCAGTTTTCCCTCTCTCCTGTTTCCTCAGCGTCTGGATGCGGTCTGGAGGGACGCTCGTTGGATCATGGATTGTCTGCAGTGCGTGCGCTCGAAGCAGTGGGTGGGGGCGGTGCCTCTGGGCCTGGTGATGGGAGGAGACCCCCCCCCACGTCCTGATGGAGAGGAGGAGGAGGACAGTCTGACCGCCAGACTCACCTGGCCCCATCGGCTACAAGCTCAGAGAGCCATTGCAGGTAAAGGATGATTCGGGTGTGGATAAAAACACGTCTCATACGTCCAGAAGTGAACTGGAGAGAGATCAAAGGAAAGACAATTCTAATGAGAGCAGAGAGAAAACGCCTCATTAGCAAATCCTGAGTGTGGGGAAGATGGATTAAGTTAGAGATAAAAACAAACCCTGATTTGTGGATTAAAAGCAGGATCAAAGGACTAATTATATTCTAGTTAAGGAATGAGACAGTGCAGTACTTAATATAAAAAATGCATTAAATAGACTTGAAAACTGAAAGTCTACACAGCAATGCTTGTGGCTATGCTACAAATGCTAATGCTAATTTCAGCATGCTCACACTCTCACAATGATAAAGCTAACATGTTGATGTTTAGAAAGCATAATGTTCAACATCTTAGTTTAGTTTATTTCTGATGTAATGCTGCAGGGAACTGAGAAATTCAACACAATATCATTCCCATCATTACAAAACACTCTGCTATATAACATGTGCAATGTTATTGTTATTATTAATAATGTTCGATAAATAACGTGCAATTACGTAACTACCGCTACGGTTTTTGCACTACTAATAAATACTGTTAATATTTACATTAATGATGTGACTGCTATGTTTCCTGTAGTTATTGAATTGCTCTTTTTACTGCACTGTTAGTGTAGAGTTTTATTATTATTGTGCTGCTGTGTTTATTGTATTGTTCTAACTCTGGCTCGAGTTCATTCGACTTCATTCGGGATGAATAAAGTCTTATCTTATGATTTGAAATTGAATTAAGATTTTTGTTGTCTTTCCATTGTCCCTTTCAGAGTGTTTGGTCAATGTGGCTCCACCTAACATCGTCCCTGTGGAGATCGCCGCTCCCTCGGGGATCATGGTCGTCCCTGCAGATGCCACGTTGTTAATGGAGGGTGTCGCAAAGGGCGGATACCCAGTGGACATCACCAACAAATCAACTTTAGACCTGACGAGCAACGGCGGCCAATCAGAGTTAGAATGTGCGACGGCTTTGATTGAATCAGGACTGGAGCCTGGCGCTGTGGCACAGTTAGACGTCGGCTACACGGTCCTGGAAACACAAGAGTCGTACTCCGGGGAAACTGACTTTCCCTGCAGCATCACTGAGGTGATCCGGCCGATGGAGATGGCAGAGCTGGTGGACATCTTGCCCACGCTGAGTCTCATCAAGGAGGAGGAGCTGCCCTGCGACCCGGCCACTCCGTCAGTCATGGACATGCTGGAGAGCTTCGGGCTGGGCATCGGTCAGAGCAGCTTCTTCGACTTAGAGAACTCAAAGTTGATCAGCGAGGCCGAGCTGCAGAATGAAAGCAGCAGCAGTCATACCGTAGAGACAAACTTTGAGATTACAGAATACGTGGCTGTTTTGAGCTCGGAGACTCATATTCCCAGCAAGGTAGCCTGCTTTCCATTGAGAAACCAGGTGGAGTGGGACCGACCCGGCGACAGTTCCTCCTGATGGCGACTCAAGCACCAGCCCACATGGACATCAAAACAAACCAGGAGGCTGCCTGAAGCAGAGAGGATTTACAGACAGGGAATCTGTAGTTAGACCTTTTCTTTTTGAGTTGTACATTACTTTGTATTCTTCGGCAATCAGGGTCCAACTGCGCAGTTACAGCTGGGGTAGACAGCAAATCATTTTATAATAACCTAAAGTTCAGTAGCTCGAAGAGAAAACTAGACTTCTTCGCCTCCTTTTCGGTTGTCAGGCTTTAAGAAAATCCAGCAAGTGACAAGGGACTTCGGTCAATCATAAGTCATTTTGGAGAAAGGGCATACTTATTGGCTCTTCTAGAAATGCAGATGGTGAAAGCCTGAAATAAAGTCCTGCAGAAAAAGTTGTTATTACAGCATTGGCAACAACTGGCTTTACAGCTCTGACCTCTGACAGCAGACACGATACATCAACATCCAGATAACTGATCTCCAGACATCTGCCTGCCCCAGCTTTCATATTAACCACTGTGACATCTACATCGACTAACACACGATTTATGTTTGCACATTTCTAGACCTTATGTTTATCTGTTTTAATGTTCATTATATTTGAACTAATTGTATGTTAAAAACTAAGCTGTTTTTTAATGAGGTGAAACTCCATTACTCACTACAGCACAGAGCAACAATGCTGCGTGATGGATCCAGTAAACAAACCCATTAAATGCAATAATAGTCTGTAGTGTTTGCCTAGTCTATAAAAAGCTGTGTGTTATTGTTTCTTTTTGGTTTACCTGTGTGCAGTTTTAACATCCCATCAAAAAACAGTAACACGATTTATGAGCCTGATTATATGAACTGCTCACGTTCCTATACCAATGTGCCAGATCTGATATCCAAGCTTAAAAATGATGAGGATATATATGCAATTCATGTGAGTGCTGCAAGAACTCAAGGCAAGGACGTGGAGGATGATTTCTTTGCACAGTTATTTTCACAAATGTATGTTTTACCACAGAGGCCAATTCAAAAGCTGGTTTTCAAAAAGTGCTTTTCCGTTATTCGCCCGTTATGTAGCGGACACAAACAGAATCTGCCTCTCAATCTGTTAAGGAACATGAACGCCATTCACAATCACACACTCATGTCAGTTTATGCTTTGGAAGTGATTTCAAAATGGATATATGCTTCTGTGCATTTATTTGGGTACTGACTTTTCTTGCAAAAGAATAAGGGCTTTTTCAGAAGGGAGAATTAAAGACATGCAATAAAACTGAAGGTTTCAAACTAAGAAAGTGGTTAAAGACTGAGGAAATGTAGCTGTGACAAGTCAAGTGGTTTTCTGTGTGATGTATGAAGGCATACTGAAAAAGAAATTGTGGAATACAGTTGAAAAGAACAAAATGGCTTTTCAGTTTGAAAAAGAAAAAACAGCAACAATTTAGGATTTTTATTTTTATTTAGCAGGGATTGTCTTTGTAACATTTAAACATCATGAACGGTCATACATGTTGAAACTACCTAATCTATTGTTGTTCAAAGTCCTATTAAATACTACTTTCACATACTACTTCACGATTTACGTTTTATTTTTGACGTGGTTCGTTTTTCCTCAATTTCGATACGATACGATATACTTTATTGTCCCCGTAAGGAAATTTGTTCTGGACTCCGTCCTGCAGTTCCGCATACATGTACATATACAAACATAGTAGACATTAAGAGACATACACATATCGTCAGTCATACACCGTTTGAACAAACACAATACACAGACGCACATACTGACAATGGCGACCTATTGCACAACCCTCATGGCCAACATTTAAAAAGTACATTTCATTTCATGTGAATTTTAAGAAGCTTAATGGACATAGGTAGGAATGAGTGCTTATCGCGGGTCAGCCTGCTCTCCATTCTTAGTGTAAAAATGCTCCTAAACAGGTGTTTTCACTTCTTCCTAATTAGACCTCATCTCCGCACTGTGTGGGTGTGAAAAGTGATTCTTTGCTCAGTGTGATTGCCATACTATTTAGAATATCGTTGTGTTTTTTTTAAATAGCTGAACCCAAAGTGTTTTCTCTGTATTTGCTTAGCAGTTAGCATCCTGAGTAGATGTACTTTGTGAGAACAATTATGTGATGAAGTCATTTATATGTAATTTCTAATAAATTCAGTCCCAGTTATTCAGAACATCAAAGAGTCACTAGTTAGGAGATGAAAACAGAACTTTGTAGATTTTTTTTCTGAAATGAATAGCCAACATTTCAGTTTCCCCCTTATTGTTAGAATTATTTACAATGACTGGTGCAAGGCATGGCTTGTTTACATTGGATTCTGCATCACAAACAACATTGGAGAAGTTATACATATCGCATCATATATATCCAAGCTTTTTTTAGATTTTGATAGCAATTTTGAACCTACATGTACTTTCACCATGACATAACAAAAAGTATAATTATGGTTTCTCCTATTGTATTCTATTTTGGTAAGACCTTTTAATTGTGCAAATACACACCTTTATGAAATTATAAAGGCAAAAATGTTGTCACTTATTTAGTTACATTTGATGTTTTCCAAGGCACAC